CTGTTTAATTCTTTTTAGTGGCTTAATTTTATCACCATCTTTATTTTAAAACGTTTCAACTAAAGGTGCAATTAAAGGAAGTTATCAGTACGTTGCCTGGAGGATTGGATACACATTTGTCAGAAGGAGGACGAAATTTCAGCGTAGGAGAAAGACAGTTAATTTGTCTTGCCAGAACGATTGTTCGCAAGAATAAAATCCTGGTCATGGATGAAGCAACATCAAATATAGATAAAAAGTGAGATTACAACAAATTATAAAAATTATTTAGTTACAATTGCCTTGGAGAATTCCTGACTACTGAAATATCGTTTGTACTTTCTTTTCCGAGTTAAAATAATTCTCACGTTAGATTTTAATGATTTAGGTGTCCGAATGTTCAGTAGAACGCTGCCTTGTGCATACTGTATTTTTTGGAAAATATAATTAACTCTCAGATAGGATATAATTCAAAAAACGCTTAATCTTTCACGCTTAATAACATAGAGATATTTTGACATTTTTAGTGCTGTTGTTTTGAATATAAAGACAGACCTTTGCTTCATATCGTTGCAGAGTGAAAAGAATTTCGGTTAAACAGTGAAAAAGTTATACGAGTTAAAAAGAAATTTTTCTTTGAGCACAGATTTATGGAGCTTCATTTCTTTGTTACACAAGTTGATAATTTAATTTTATTGCCAATTAGGAATTGTTCAGTTATGCGTTTTTGTTGCTTAAGCAACATAAAGTGCAATTAATCGAACGCTATGCATCCTTTTATAATTTATTTGATTATTTAGTTAATACGCGTTGTTTACACGTTTCGGGCCTTATGTCGCCTCTCATCTGCCAACTAATTTCTAAAAATTGTGTCGTGTAGTAATTAAGTACATTTCTTTAAGATTAGTTCGCTGAAGAGAAGCAACATAATGCCCGAAACGTGTAAACAACACGTTTCTACTAAATAAATAAACAATATTAAATTCTAAGTAAAAATTATCTTTTCATGCAAAATGATTTGTACATAAAATAGTTTAAATTCTTTTAAAAAATTATAAAAATTTTCCATCGTCATTACCATCATTTACAGTAGCCTAATCCTAAATAATTTTCATAAATAGAACTTGAAAACAAAAAAATATGTTAAAACTTTATGTAGATGATTCTTCTTATTAGCATTGTAACTTTACAAGTTGGAAAGTTATAATATGTTATAAATTTTTTACAAAACAAATTATTCTATTTTATGACATTTATATTATATATACAGACATATAGATTTGTAACGTATTATTATCTATTTTATATCAAGAACTGATTCCTGCATACAGAAAATAATTCGAGAAAAATTCAAATCGTGTACCGTGTTGACAATAGCCCACAGGTTACATACAATTATCGATTCGGACAGAGTGCTGGTAAGACTTTTTTGTTTAAGTTAATAATATAAACGAAAACAAAATTTATATACATATTTAAAATATTTAGGTTCTAGACAAAGGAAAAATTCAAGAATTTGACATGCCATATAAATTACTGAAGAATGTGAATGGTACTTTTTATAACCTGGTAAAAAACTCGGGAGTTACTGCGATGAATGAGCTATTTAAAATTGCTGAAAATAAATATTATGTTCAAGAATGTACTGAAACAACGAGATTATAATACAGTGGATTTTCCTCGATACGTATTAACTTTTAGTGGATTTCATACCTTTTTTACATTATCATGTATTCGGAATCATCTGTTTTAAAGGCAGTTTCTGCATGACATTTAGGATATAGAATTGTTAAAATCTTTAGTAAAAACTGTTAAAACTTACATAATATTTGTGATTCCTACTGTTAAATTTATGTGTTAAACGTTAGTTTAATGAAATCAGTATATTTGTTTAGATAATGTTGCTAGAAAAATTAAGAATGGGTTATTTACAGAAAAGTAGTAAATTTTAAAAATATGTAAACAAGAAAAAAATGATGTGTTTATTGGAATATTTTATAACGTCTTTTTTTACAAATTTTATGAGGAAAAGTTTAATTGAAAACATCAATTTAATAATGAATGTAAATCTTAGTAATAATTTGCATCATTGTTATAAGCAACAATAAAAATAAATATGTTCTGAATATATTTCAATATGTATTATCTTACTTTTGGTGTTTAAAATTTCATCAACGTTTTCAATGAAAGTCAGGGAATAAATTGACTTTTTGATTATTTAGTGTGAAAGCCGCACAAAATTTTTTATTTGGAGTGAACTTGAAAATGATGTTTTTTAAATATACGAAAAGTAATTAATACTTAATGATGAATTAAAATAGGTTAATTAGTAATATGGACCGTTTATTTTGAAAGTGGTGTAAGTCCATTTTTTCTTCTTTCGAGATATTTAAACATTTGCATTTTAGTTGATTCAAAAATATAAACAAAGTGTACTAAGTTTGACAATGTTTCTATGACTTTAGAAATATGTAAGTTGATTGCATAAAGACTTCTATGTGAATTTATCCAAACTAATATNACGCAAAATTATGTATGTGCCCAGGTATATTAAGTAAAATAAAAAATGTATTTCTGTAAAACTTTGTAATATTTCTGTAGTGCCAGTATAATAAGTCCTGGTAATAGAAGATACGTTATTATAGACGAAAATTTATATTTTAGTAAAAAAAAGGACATTGAGGCATTTTAATTAATGAATATCATTGATTACTTTTAAAAAATTTGCTACGTATTTTTCTTTCTGTTCTTCTTCTTCTTATATCTTTGGTTCGAAAACCTAATACCTTGTGGAGTTTTTCTTTACTCAACTCAATTTTATATCCAGGTTGTAAATGAATTATAAATCTCGTTGTTGCAAAATGAATTTCAAACTTTATAGAAGGTATTACAAAGAATTCTACTAAAAACTTATTTAGATCTCGAAGAGTGTAATTCCCATTTTCTATCGTTACATCATTCCTCTTTGTTTAATCAAAATATCTAAAAGTATTGTTATTAAATTTTTCATCGCTATTATGCCAAGAAACCCACATAGACATTGATTTCAGAGCTAATTTCGAATTATTTACAGGTATTGGATTTTTAAACTCGATTGTAAAGACTTCTGTTTTATCAGCATTTTTCGAATCTAAGACTGTTAGTTTCATTTATATAAAACAAAATTCTCATTAAACTCACTCGGTTCTTGTGTAAATGAGTATAAGACTTCAATGAGAGATTTACCTTTATTTCTTCCTACAATGTATTTTATACAATAGTAACTATATCTAACAGACGTAGGATTCTGAAGAAAACTACAGTTATATCTTATTTGTTTTTTACATGTTTATAAATATTTTATGATTTCTTTTGAAATTATCTCTTTTTTTTATCTTACATTTTTTAACTTATATTCTCCAAAAGGATCAATGAATTCAATGAAAAGATATTTGGTATCATTATAATAACAAACCCAATGTGTTCCATTTCCAGTTTAAATATCTAAATTAATTATACCGTTTTCAAATTTTCTAATTGTTTTCTGTAATAAATCAACTGTAAACGCACCTCTATGAACTTGTTTATTTTTTATATTATCATTTATCGTGTCATTAGATATTTTCAATTCTGAATCACTCCTTACCCCCTAATTTGAAATTTGGCCGTATTGGACCTAAAGGGCTTTGGTAAGAAGGTGGCCACCTAGTTTTTTTTATTACATCCGGATCCGGTTACTTAATCTAAAGCTTTTTNTTTATCAGCATTTTTCGAATCTAAGACTGTTAGTTTCATTTATATAAAACAAAATTCTCATTAAACTCACTCGGTTCTTGTGTAAATGAGTATAAGACTTCAATGAGAGATTTACCTTTATTTCTTCCTACAATGTATTTTATACAATAGTAACTATATCTAACAGACGTAGGATTCTGAAGAAAACTACAGTTATATCTTATTTGTTTTTTACATGTTTATAAATATTTTATGATTTCTTTTGAAATTATCTCTTTTTTTTATCTTACATTTTTTAACTTATATTCTCCAAAAGGATCAATGAATTCAATGAAAAGATATTTGGTATCATTATAATAACAAACCCAATGTGTTCCATTTCCAGTTTAAATATCTAAATTAATTATACCGTTTTCAAATTTTCTAATTGTTTTCTGTAATAAATCAACTGTAAACGCACCTCTATGAACTTGTTTATTTTTTATATTAACATTTATTGTGTCATTGGATATTTCCAATTTTGAATCACTCGTTTTCCCCTTAATTTTGAATTAGACCATATTGGACCTAAATGGCCTTTGGTAAGAAGGAGGCCACCTTGTCTTTTTTATTACATCCGGATTAAATTACATTATTTAATGCTTTTTTAGCTTCCAATCGTGCAGCACCTGATAAAGGTCCCGTAGCCAAATTTGTTAGAAATTCTAACAAATTTGGCTACGGGCTAACTTAAAATAGGAATTAAAAATGGTAAGAAGCCTCCATTCATTTTTAATTGTGTTCTACTTATTTTTATTCTCTTTCCTTCATTAATATTTTTTATTTGAGGTTTTGTTAAAAACACATGATGATTAGAAGGTTTACATTTATCAATTTGTAAATATATTTCTTCTCCATTCTTAAAGGCTGATTTCAATTTATTTTTTTGCGACTCACTGAGATAGATTCTGGGTTTAATATAATTACTCATTTAATTAGATAAAAATTTTGAATAATATTCTTTCACTGTATCTGCTGTTATTTCTCCCGAATTTAATAATTGTTAAAAAGTTGTGTATGTGAACGTTGTCTTTGTGATTGTCGCGCCCTCCCCTCTGCTATGTGTGGGGTCTGTTGTGTTATGTTCGTCAAGGGAGTTGTACTCTGGTCCAGTATAGTTCAGTTTGGAATGTGTGCTGTGGTCTAACGGACATCGCTTTCTAGTTCTCTCCACATTCTTTGTGTTACCTTCGACATTACCCTTCATCATATCCAAACCCTGACAATAATAGATCAAGAATTTTAACAATCTTATTATATACTTTTTTATTTCCACCTAACAGCTTATCAGTGAATTTTTCTAATTCATTAAATAAATCTTCTCCACTAATTATAAATGATTGTAAAGCAGACTTTAAAACTTTTAATTTTTCTCTATGAAGTTTAATTAAATCTAAATCAGACTGATACAAATTTAAAACCTCTTCTAATGCTTTTCTTTGAAAATCATTTAGGGGAGACCGGGGCAAGATCGGCATGTTAAGCTTTACTTAAATTTTGTGTAATAAATACTGCTGTAAACTGAAAAAAAAGCTTTGCATATTGTCTATTGGANGCTGTCTTTAAATGATGTCCACACTGAAAGGGAGGGAGGGGTTAAGACAAGTTGGACAAGGAGGGTTGAGTATTAGTGGACATCCATTTATTTCATTAAACTTTATACAATATGCATTTTATTATATTTAATTCAAAGTTTCTTGTATGTTTCATTTCTACTTATGGTATCTATCATTCATAAAGTGATGAAGGTTTTAACAGGGATAGAGTTATGTTGGACATCCATAGAGGGAAAGGGGTTACAAAAACTTGGACAAACTGGGACAAGAGGGAAAAGTAAACATTTCAAGAAAAATGCGCATGTAATTTATGGATAGCCCAAGTGCTTAGACCGTAGAAAATGGACTTATACCACTTTCAAAATCAATGGTTATGCAATGTCATTTATCGATAAATTTTCAGTTGATCAAAGCTTATGGTTATTTTAAAATGTTAAGTGTGAATTGTTTATAAATAAAAAGTTCACACTAAATTGTATGTATATTATGTGTTTTCTCAATTTTTTCCAAAAATGGACTTACACCACTTTCAAAATAAACGGTCTATATAAACCTGCTCACTGTCAAGATGGCTTATATGTTTCTTCTTCCCTATCCCGCGATAACGGGATTTTATTTGTTCGGATCGAATGGAGGAAGCAGGAGTGCCGTTGGTAAGGTGACAGGCGATAGAAGAGTAAAAGAGGACACCAATTTAACAAGGAATCAACGATTTATTAGCTATCAACATAGACGGTACAATAACTATTATCGAGGGGAAATTCTGAGTCCTTAAAACGCGAAGGGCCGAGATAGAGTTCACAAAAATTTGTTCCATACTTCTTTATGTTGATAGTTCTCTTGAGGAAATTAATAGTATACGTAGGACACAATATTCGTAGGATACAAAATTTGTAGGAAATATTCAAAATATTCTTAGGACACAATATCTAAGTGACGGTAGATGAACGACTCCTTCGAAGTGGAAGCAAGTGGCTTTTATAGTTTCGTCGTTGGAGAATGGTCATGTGACCAATTGTTGTGAGGTAAAAGGTACGAGGATGGGTCAAAGTTGTCTCCGGGAAACTGCTAACTATCAACTTTGGCGTTGGAATGTGGTATTATTTTCGAAATGGACAGATGTTTACATTGAATGAAAGGAAAGATTAGTGTTTTTCCTTTTTTTATTAGTTAGCTTTTAGCTTAGGATTTAAAGGAAAATTTAATTGAGGGTTTAGGAAAATACGGGATATTAATCGGAAAAATCGGTAAAAATTCCGGATTTCACATAGGTCTAACATCTTTGTAAATCGCAGTTCTATTACTTTCCCAAGTTTCATCCTGATAAAAAAATCCAGAAGTTTGGTTTAATTATTA